ACAGAGTTACAGGGTACACTGCAAGTTGCTTGTTTTGAAATGAAGCATAAATACTGTTCTGCAGGCTCATATAAAAATGCTAAAGCCAACCCAGCCTTAAACAGAATTACATTTACAGAAAGCTGCATCTTACTAATTTTAACCTCATGGACTAGGCAAAATTATGAGCCTTTGAATTCCAGTAACATGAACTCTTTAACTGTCTGTCATAAACAAATACCCAGACTTGTTTTTAACTGCATTTTCTGGTTCCTCTCTGACAGGTTCCCATATTATACTTACATGGGGTCACACCATCTATATGGTAATAATGTATGTCCTCAAACTCAGAAGGGAGCCTCCAAAGTACTTAGATCTAAATGTAGATCTTCTCATCCCACCTGTAATTGCATGGAGACAGGACATATTCTTCTTTTTGTCTATAACTCTACACATGCCATAAATAGTTGATCTGTACTACCACTAGAGTACTCAGAACAAAACACAAGCAGATCAATATCACCACTGTAAATTTCAGTTCCTTCCAGCTGAAAGAAGTCAGTCATATACTTGAACTACCAAGACATATGAGTCACCTAGACTTAAAAGTTTCTCATTTTAGAGACCATGCCAATGATCAAAGGACAGTTAAAATACCTGAAACATGGGGGTTTTTTTGCAGAAACAATTTATTCTTCCTCTTTGCTTACAAGCAAAGCACAAACATGAATTTCTACCAATAAAAATATTGCAAACTGTAATCTTGTTTACATTTGTTATAGCGAGATAACACAATACTGCACATGCTGCTCTGAAAATAATTTTCATACAAATTAAAGGGCCAGCATGGAGATTTCCTAAGTACGAGTTTTGTTTACTATGGGACCTGGGTCACTAATTAATCTTTCTGAAGCAGCAGTTGCACGACAGTTAATTTTTGGTCAGAATTAGCAAACATTGTTACTGAACTACCTAAAAGTGATTAGTTAGTTAAGGCCTGGGACCAGAGGCCACTGAGCACCAGGGGCCATCCACCTATATTTGTCTCAGACAAGAAGGTGTGGCTCAGCTACAGATAAGGTTCCTATTAAAGTTGAATTAACTTTCGGGACAAAAGGTGAACGTAAGTAAGAGCAAGGCATTGGTTCAGGAAGACCACTGCCTCCTTACGTATCTTCTATGAGACCTGCAGAAAAAGGTAGCAGAGGTAGTGACAAAGGTTAGTGTCACGATTTGCAGATACTACTGACAAAACGTCTGCTCTGAAGAAGAGCTAAGGTAAAGTCTAGTACTGGCAGCGATGATTTGGCTACGATAATGTTCAAAGCTGGAAGAAATGACAGGGCTAGCACTAGGATGGCAGTTCAGCCTAGCAAATACCAGCACAGAATAAAACCTGCTATTAAAGGGTTATGTGCCTTTATTTACATCTGGAATTAGAAGAGGGTGCTGGCCTAGAATAAAGGATAATACTGGAATTGGGTTTAGGGTTGGGGCTCAGGCCAGCAGATATTGATAAACTGCAGCTTAAAAAGCGCCTCCAGGTTAACATGAAAAATGGTGCTGGCTTAAACCACCTGACTGCAGAGATCTGTGGGATAAGGAGTGAGATAATATTAAGATTAGGAGTGGAATTAGGGTTTGAGCATACTCTGGAAGAGGTTGATAAACTGCATCATCTCGTTTCAGTATCAGGGAGGGCCACAGGCTGTGATAAAGGTGCCACATGACAGGACTTCACACACCCTTAGCAAGCCCAACACCACCTAGCATGCCAGGCTACTCTGTCTATATCCTCTGTTGACACAAGGCTCCCCAAGACATACATGCGTTCCCGACCCCTCAGGATTACTGTATATGTACACTTCTGTCCTTGTGTATGTACACAGAGAACCTGGCACTCTTGAGATGTACAGATTTCCTGTACCGTATCTGCACGGTGTGTATGGATTGTGGCTGGGGGCAGGGAAGAAGGCCCCTAACAAGGAAAGCATCTGTATGAAAACATCCAGTCCTTACTGTCTCTATTTCTCCCTTCATTCGCACTAGGGCTGCCGAATGCAAAATACATCAAAGACTAAAAAAGTTAAGCGTCTGGCAACCAACATCTCCGCTCTTCATAGATACATTTTTAAATACAGTGGATCAAGTCTATGCAGCAGGTTGGTCCTGCCAAGGAAATCAAAAGCCAAATCAGCCAAATATACCGAGAAGCAGCACAAAAGCTTGTCTGTGTCTTCTCCAAACAGGAGCTTTGCCAACGATGATCTTGGCAGTACTATTTAGCACTTACCCTTTTCCCAGTTCTTGGGAATAGGCGTCCACCATGTTACTCAGCATTTTCCAGGTTAGGGAAGGGTTCAGGATTGACCTTGCCTACTTCACATTACAAAAAAACCTGACACATCTTATCTATCTCTGTGTTTTAATCACAAAATAGGCTCACCCACATTAGTGATTAATGGTGAAAAATTCAGTCTAAGTTGCAGACTGACAATGACACTTTCTGGAGAAGGATGAAACATATAATCACATTTCAAGGACAAAATCATGTCCACGCTGGAGACCATACAGTTAAAAACCTTAAAAATCAATATAAATAGCACACAGCCCATCTCTACCATTTTCCAAGCTTGCAATTTAGAGAATGCAGGGTAAGCAAGAACAACAGTTGCTCAATTCAACAAGAAACCTGCTTCAGCATTCACTACAAACTGCAGAGGAGAAAGCTTCACAGTGAGTCTTGCCAAGAGGGAATTACAATAATCGAGCCTCATGGTCACAAGACCACACACTACTGTTGTGAAACAGTCACTGGGTAATTAAGGGTGTAGCAAGCAACATAGTTTACCACTGGTGGGGAAAGGAAAAAAAAAAAAAAAAAAGAAAAAGCCACACACAAAACATGGTCTTACCCCTGAAAAGGTATGAAGTCAAGAAAAAAGGATCTTACAAATCCGCACTGATGTCAAAAATGCAGCAGAATGATGCTGCTATTCTAGTACTGTCAATGCAGTAACAACAGAGAGTAGGGAATAAAGGTGAGTTGCAGAGTTAAGCCTGCAGCAAATAATTTAGGCAAAAGCAACAACGGCAAGAAAAGAGAATTCCAAGGGATGCAGGAGTAAAAGTTATAATGATGTAGAAATGACAGCTGAACTTCAGTTCACTAAGGTGAAGTCACAAAAGTGGTACATTTCCAGAATGATAAAAAATTAATAGCAAAAGATGATAAAAGTTAAAATGTAAGATGCTGATTTTAAAATTAATAAATAGCCAGGTACCCCAGAGTAGCAGAGATACGTATTAACAAAGCAGAACCAGAAAGATGCCATTCAGTAGGCTTAACAGTTGAAACCTGACCAAACATTTTTTTAGCCTTTTTGTATTTCAGGGATGTGTACCAGTGTAACTGAAGGAGTTCAGAGAAGTTTTCCAAACTTATCTTTTCTTGTTTGCAGAAATCAAGTAAAGAATTGGCAAAATAATCACTTCTACAAGCCACTGCCCTCAGCTCTGCATATACAAATGTCTCATCTGCCTCTCCACTAAACGAAACTTCCTCTAACGATCCAACTTTGATTGTCCCACCAATTCACAGCATTTTTGCCAAACTGGGGGGAAAAGAGGATATATTGCATCTATCCTCTACGTAGGACTGTGCTGTTTGGAGCAGCTCCCACAGGGGCTTAGCAGGGTGCTGCTGGCCACTAGAGAAGGTGACTGGGCCATGGGGAGTGACAGCGGGACGAGAGAGCAAAGCAACCTTCGCTCCTGACCACAGCGAGAGCACCGACTCAGCACGGCTGGGAGTGGCAGGGGCTTGAAGGGGAGAGTACTTCATCCAGCCAGGCCCTCCCCATCACAGGGGAGCGAAAGGCCATGTCATTCATTTCTCCCTCTGACCCCTGCTTCTCTGAGGGAGGGAGAAAAAACAAAGGCATTAAGCATTTAGCATTATTTCTGATGCAAGGAGGACACAAAAGCATCTCAAACAAAAGTTACTCCCATTCCAGTCTCCTAACAGCTTCCCTCTTTACTGTCAACCCATCAGAAGCGGCAGGGTTTAGTGGGGGCTTGTTTCTGCGTGCTAATACGTCCTGATGTGCTATCCGGACACTCTTCTAGTCTCACCTTCCACCACTACACTCTTAATTTCTGTAACACACTAAGCTTCTGGTCCTTAGATATGACTTGCATTTACATGTTCTTATACTTGCACCTTCTTGAACTTGCATGTTCAATCCCCTGGTACAAGTTAGCATACAATTTTCCAACCTGTATTAAACTCTCAGATTATTTATAAGGTAAACCAATTATACAAATTTTGTCAAAATCTATGCTTATTAATACCTTTGACTGTACTAAGTGCTCATTGGGCTCTAAAATTTGTACTGAAGACTACTCTACAGAAAATAGAGGGTTAATATTTTTAAACAATTGTTCACGGTAGCTCAGATAACATTAAAGAACCTGTTGCAATTAAAATTCATAAGCTCTATTTCCAAATCTCACAACTCAGGTCAAGATCCGCAACCATAATGATCGTCAATGAAATACTGTATCCTGACTCACTCCATACAAATAAGCTACTCTTATAAAAGCACTCCTTTGTTTCAGTAGAGGAGGGTGGCAAAGGAAGAAACAGATAAGGAATAATTAAACTAATACTGCACTAATGAAAAGCTGAATTAATTGAAACAGCCCATGAAGTATCCGAGCGTACACAAAGTAATTCAACAGACGTTACACTGTTGGAAGGCTGACTATCCAGTGCATGGATGAAACCAGAATGAGAGATTAACAGCACATCCAACAATAAAGTTAATCATGGATTTTCTGTTGCTTACAGTCAAACGTGAAATACTACTGCATGTCATTTTTGCAAGCAAACCTTACAGAACGACCAGGGAGATCAGAAAATGATACAGCCAGTATCACACTGCACAACAATACAGAAAATAGAGCTGATTTTCTTATTGATAAAAACAGTGAAATATATAAACTGCCCATTACTGTACCTTCATGACATCTTTATAGGAATGAATGGCCTCAACTTCCTCTTTGCCATCATCATTGTCATCCTCCACTCCTTCATCCAGAGCATCATATCCTTCATCCCTACTCCCATCTGTTTCTGTGGTATTAGTCATATGGTCAATAAGCTGCTCCAGTGGAGGACTTAATTCCCGCTCTTCATTGTCCTTCAAACCATAGTCCAGGGCTTTATATATAATAATCCCTAGTGATTCAATAACCTATAAAAGTAAAAAAGAAATATTTATTAATGCCATTTACATGAATGAATAGGTCAGTCTAGAAACACCCTTTTCTGGTGTTTGTATAACAAACTTAGCAACTGAGAAGGCAATAAACATCAAAATTAAAGAGAAAAATGATCCTCTAATACCTACACTAGTACTTCAGTAATGCAGCACAGAACATGCAAGAGCAGGTCATACCACACACCTACCGCTTTCTTCTTTCAAAGTTTGAAATAAAAATTTGTAATTTAAAAACAAAGCAGGACCTTTTTACATTATTTTCCCTTTTTCCTTCTAATACGACAAACCTCAAAGTAACATTACTCTAGACTTTGTAAGACTATATTACATGCATATGACCTTTTCAGGGGGGCGGGTGGGAAGAAATTAAAAGAAAGAATAAACTAACATGAGATGCCTCCCGCCTCCCACAAATTGACAACACTTGGAAACTGCCCTTCAGTTTCTGCTTCTCTTCATTGACCTGAGAGATGTCTGGACACAGCTGTGGGCATCCCAGTGTTAACTCACTGAGCACTAGGACATCAGCCCACAAGAACTCCTTTGCCTGTTGCACAGCCGGTGGAGGCAGACATACTCCACTGAAACTACCAACAACTGGATTTCATAGTAATGAGGTAGTACCTCGATTATTCATTGAACTTCAGGCTTCTTTTTTGTGCTCTGTCAAGAGCAAAGCAAACAGACGACCTCTTACTCAGTGTAAGCTAGCAAAAAATTGTCATGAACATCCCGAAATGCTAAATGCACATTTTCTTTCTTGGCATTAATTATTTTCCTTATGAGTATTATTGAAGCTTCTAGCATTTGAAAGATGTGAAGAGATGGCATTTCAAACTGAGGAGTTTGGAAATGGGTATTCATGGAGAGGGAAGGGAAAACCACAAGAAGGTAATGTCGCAGCCGGGAGATCCTTGTCTGACAAGGAGTTATTGCATGTAATCTCTGATCTTCCTTGTGTGTTGTGATGGCTAGCATGTCACACAAATGAGCAGACTCCAGTGTAGGAGTAGTTGGCACTAGGGCAACTTTAATAACAGGAGCATTTCTAAACATACCAAACCTTGTCATCAAATGCCATTTTCTCTCATCTGGCTTTCAGTACTATCCTGGTCAACACACTTTTTAATGCAGATTTTTGAAATTCTATTTGGTAAACAGGAAAACACAAATGGATTCTTAAAACATTAAATTTGACTCTAGCAGCTTACTTATTTCACCACAGCAAAGTATTTTTGGACTGAGAGGCTGGAGGTTAGCAAAGACTTAAAATGATATCCTGTTAGTTTAGCTAGACAGGCAATTTAATGAACTAGCTGTAGTCTGACAGCTTCACACTTGCATACTTCATTCCTCTGTTCAGATTACTTTGCAGTGCAAATTCATTTTGCAAGACAGTGGCTAATAAATAAACAAACAAACAAACATAAAAAACAATACATAAAAAACACACTTTTGTAATTTATTTCCAATAATTTCAATAATTCAATTGAACATAAATAATTTCCTATGCTATTCTCTTGAAATGTGTTTATACATATTTGGAAAATATTCTTAAAATGCAGTTAAGAAAAGTGATTAGGCAAATTAATGAAGAAAAAATGGTCTTAATTTATTTAGTTCAAAGAACAGCTTCTGACTTGTCAAATGCTAGTGAGACAGCAAAGTATACCAGGGAAGCATCGCTGCATGCTTGCTCATTTCTCATACCCTAACCCAGACTTCTGCTATGACCCACTTTGGAGACAGGACACTGCACTATACAGACCTCAAAAATAGCTGTAACAGATCAAACTTACGTCTGCAGCATATCTGGCTTGCTTCTTAGAGAAGCTATTTTGTAATTACTGTTTTGTAAAACTTGTATTGTTAAAAAAAAAAATCTGAAAATGTGAAAATTTCACAAAATAAAATATATTCTACTGGTAGACATGCATATTTCCTGGAACTCAGGTTCTGAGTACAATCTCAACATACATCCCTTCAGCAACTGAAAGGGAACAAAGAATACTAAGTTAATTCCAATTTGAAGTAGACGTAAATGAAAATGAAGTACAATTGAATAATCGCTTTGATATTTTAAACACTTGGGAGTAAACACAATGTGAGTAATTTCTAACTTTAATAAAAACTAAATTTGAAAGAGCTTAGCATATATGAGGAGGACTGAAATGTCCAAATTAGATGCAAAGAAAATAATGTCTTGTGCCATGTAGTGATGGTTGCTGAACACAGCTTCTGGATTTTGCTACACCAACACTTCAAAAAAATAGAAGGCGGGGGGTATAAAGGAAGTGCGCTCTCTCTGCCTCCTTCTGTTTGGGAAGAGGATTAAGGCGTTCAAAAGCACCGTGGCTAAAACTGGATGACAGCTGCTGCTTTCTTTGATGTATCAGCAGTGGGGCTTTTGCAGTAATACAGTTTGTGCATTTTTACGTACTATGAACAGGTTTCATAATACATGCAAAGCTGACACAACACGAAAGCCTGCAACAGCACCAATTCAGACCTATATTTCAGTCTCTCAGCTCCTTATTTAGGAGTGGTGATCAAAACTGTATCCATTCAGTGTCTGTCAGTATCACAGATTCTTCTTGCTGAAAGACAAAGCAGCAAACATCTTAACTGAGAAAATTTGCCTTGACTTGCATTAAAACTGAAAAAATTCAGTGCTTTCAGTAATACTGATTTACCGAGGATCTTGTAAAACCACACAAAGTGCCATACGAATATCAAACAAAAGTCACAGAATCGTCAATGCTTCTTCACATGGACAAAACTATTAATGCAACTTCACACAAATAAAACTTCTATGTCTACATAACCTGAAACATAATACACAAGGTTAGACAGTCAGCTCATTGCTGCTTAAACGCATGAGTGCTGTCCCTTTGCTTGTAATACAAATCAAATAAAACAAAAAAGGAAAAGCTTTTCACAGTTGAATGGATTGAATAGATAAATATGCGGGTTTTTGAGCTGGATAATCAGGGACTATCACTTTTTTTTTTTGAAAGCCGCAACTATTTACAAAGAAGTCACTGGTTCTAAACTGCACTGTTTGCTAATTTCACAAAAATAAATACTTCTGGCACCTAACGTGACAGGCACTGGCATAGTTTTCAATTATATCTGTGAAAACAGAGGTATAGTAGGAAAAACAAGGCTAAGAAGGGACTTAAAAGAGCAAGGCTCTTTTAAACCACAGAGTTGTACATAGACACACCAAAACAACTGTATGACACTGAAATAAGTGCCAGCACTAATGATAAACGGATGCTGCTCGACTCAGGTGGGGGAAAAAAAAAAAAATCAAGTTCTGCACCTTGAATTTTAGAACTCATTTCTTCCTGACTGATTTAAATTTTGGCGAAGTACCTGATCTTTGCAAATCAATCAGTGGCTAAACAGCTTAAAAAAATAAACAAGGAAGTCTGCATTATTATGCTTTACACCTTCTCACCAAGTTCTTTTGAAAGTCATGGCTTCAGACCAAAAAAAAAAAACATTTCCCACAGACTGAACTTGTATTCTGTTGTGCTTAAATCATTAGTGAAAGGGGAATTTTGTCTAACTGTGAGTATTTTTTCAGTTTCTACACCAGTCTGGACTCGTGTTTTACTGTTCTTTTATAACAAGTTGCGATAAAGTTGTTGGAACACTTCGACTTCAAACACGACGCAAAAACAATATCCTCACGCCCCTTTTACACACAGAGAAAAAACAAAACTCAAACCATTCAGATTATTTTCATACACAAACACTGCATGGAACTTTCCATTCCGTATACCTTCCTCCAACACATTTAGGCATGCCTCTTGGAAAGGGGTTCATGAGGGTTTTAGGTCTTTCATATGACACAAATTATGTTCATCCAATGAACGCTGCCAATTTAACATTCTCAAAAACTCTTCAAATATACAGCCTTGGTATAGGAACCAAACATGTTTGAAACTTGCAAAAGTCTTGAGTGAAATTACTGTGAGTACTTCACTTATCTTTTTTTTATTTCAGAGAAGAATCCTTTTTTCCCCTCAACACATATATCTCTCTGACTCTTGCTGAAGCGCAGATGAGAACAGGCAGAATCCGCATGCCAGTCCCCCCCCTCACCGCACACACAATGGGGCACTGTCTGAGCTTTCATCCCCTTCCTAGGCTTGCCTCAATTTTTAAACAAAGCAACAAAGCCTAAGGACAGGCTTGTACTTACAGCAGCAAAGGGCTTTTTTTTCAGCTCAAATGCCTGTCCCTCCCCAAAGTTCTCCCTTCCTCCAAAAGCCACTCAGGTTTTGTATCCCTAAATTGGGATTAAAGATGCCGTAAAGCTCCAGCTCCTAAAGTGAGTCAACTAACTTTGAACTTTCCCACTGGGACCTCAGATATGGCAACCAGCCACCACAAAATTTGCATTTCTACCGCACTGTCTTTTATGAATTCTAATAAATTTTTTATTAAAAATTTATACTACAATTATTATTTTTAAGTGCTCCCTTTTCTTACCAGCAGATCTCCAACACACTTTATGAAGGAGAATCACTCTCCCTTACGGTAAGAGTGCTGAGAGCCCGGAGCAGGCATTAGCCACGGCACTCCTTAGGGTAGAGCTCCTCTCCGCCACCAACTCTGCCACCACTCCTGGTATTAGGCAGCACTTAGTCAATCTGCAAAGACTAACCTGTCCTACTGCTGACTTTAAATTAGCCTGCCAGGAGCTTCACGCTGTGCTTCTGGAATCGTAACACAGCATAAATATATCCACAGACACCCTTGAAGTCAAGAGTTACATATCTTAAATTTTCTACGGCACATTAGGAGAAGACACACAAACATGCACAAGTGCTTGTGATAAAATTCTGTAATACAGCTCAAAAGACAGGCATGTTAAAATTTTATGTAAACCCAACTGTTCCTCTCCAGCTAGATGACAGGGGGAGCAAGCTATTGCTCTGGTTACCATTTCCATTTGTAAC